TGTCTGTGTGTGTGTCGTGTGTGCGCGTGTGTGTGCGTGTGTGCATGTGTGTGTGTGCATGTGTGTGTGTGTGCATGTGTGTGTGTGCGTTTGTGCGTTTGTGCGTGCGCGCTTGCGTGCGTGTGTGCGTGCCAAGGCATGGTTGATATTTTTGGGGGGTAAGTATTTTACAACGCTAGCAAATGCATAAGGTCATATGAGCAGGCGTGACACATTAAACATATTCAGTCGGTAGGAAATTTTGAATTTTTCCCGGATAACGGCTGAAGCCTACTTTTATCGATTTTAGACCATAGAGGGATCTTTAGCGTGCGCAACTTGCGCACGGGACCTCCGAGATTTTCTCCCTTGCCGAGAAGGCTAGGTGTAGATCTTTCCTACCAGAAGACCAGGGGTGTGGCTGAAAGACAGCAGTGGAAAGGAGCCAAGGAGTAGCAGTAGAAAGGCTGTAGAAAGAGTGAGGAGCCCAGAGGAGTGGGCTTAGGCGGTGAGGGGGTGGGGGCTGAAAGTGGAGACGAAAGCAGACAACAGAACATTGCTAGATAGCAGGAAAGGTGTTAAAAGGATACAATTTTAGAAAAGAAATAAAAAGATTTCCGTCGCTACCCGAATTCATACCCGGAACATTTGAACGAGAGGCGAACCCTCTAACCACTAGGCCAGGAGAGCCCCCAAGGTATAGTTGTGTGCATAATACAATTCAATATGTATGCAGTGACGTCATTAGCCATTTGGTTTTTTTTTATTTTGGTTGTTGTTGTTTTTTATTTTTTTAAAATTCAATTGTCTCCCTTCCTCAGGTTATACGAGGGAGATGCGAAGGCAAATGTGACGTCACTGTGGAGTCCCGATCCTTCTGCAAGCGATGTCGTCTGGCCAAGTGCTTCACCGTGGGCATGCGCAAAGACATGATACTCAGTGAGTACTTCCGCCCACTCCTTGGTGTCGCTCATTCTTTATCGGTTTTTTTTTCGGGGGGGGGGGGCTTTTATTTGTTTTGTTACTTTCAAATTTTTAAATATTTAAAAAATTTTTTTGTTTGTTGTTGCTACATCTGTCTTTTAATTGTTCGATTATTGTTATAAGGGGGGCGTAAGCAGATCGTGTTCATCCTTTTGTGTCGTTGTTTTGTTTTATGCATCTTTTTTCTATCCTGTTTGTTTTTGTGTTAATTGTATTGTTGTTTTTTCTCTCCTCCTCCTCCTCCTCCTCCTCCTCCTCCTCCTC